CAAGATTTGTTTTTCTTGGTATACATTTATTAATTAGTTTTAATCAAAAAAAATTTGCTCAGACGTTTTTTTTTATCTTTGAAAATTTGAAAAAGGATCTCACATATCCTTTTTCAAATTTTCATATCTGATACTACTGTCAACTGTATTGTTTAGTGTATTCTTGTACTTTTTTTTCATAACCTTAACAGGTTCTAATTGGTATGGAGTTGCTGACATTTAAAAAATTTCATTATCAAAAATCAAATGTAAAAAAAAATATTTCCTTTTTATCCGTATCCAATTCAGCAAATTTAGCAATTTAAATTAAATCAGCGTAATAAAAAAATTTTTATAATAAAAAAAATTTACAACTCATTAAATATCTCTACTAATACTGTCAGTTTATGAAAGTAATTGTAAATAAATACTTTTTTCGACAGGAAAACAAAAAATTGTCATTGCAAAAAAATAAACAGAGAAGTTACAAAATAGTTTCCATTGTTTAAATAAAAATAAGTAAGAGTCAGAATATATAATACTGCGCACATACTCTTGCACAAAAGCTACTACACACTCTTGCACAAAAACAAGAGACCGTATATAAAACGTTCTATATAATGTAAAATACTCACATGAAAATTATAAGATTAATAAGTAAAGTTTTAATGTTTGTTTTAATTTAAAAACAATAGGAATATAAGTAAGATATATAAATCTAAAAATTATTAAGATATCTGTAAAAAATAAGTTGCTCCTATAAAATAAAAATAAGTTATTGTTTTTACTTTTTTACAAAAACTTTTTTGCGATGTTTGGAAAAATAATACAAATAAATTTGTTTTGCTGTATGTTAAAAAAATACTAGAAAAACACAGCTTTGTGCAATTACACTTTCCATTTGTTAAAAGTCTACCATGACATCAAATACTAAAACTCTTATGAATTAAACGCGCTTCAAAAGAATGAAAGATTTCTACCCAAGGGCCATCACAAAGATATTCACGGAAAGATTCCCAGTCAGCTTTAAGGTAGTTATAAGATATACAATGATAGGGGGATTCTGATGATAAAGAAGAATGAGATATAAGTTTTAGAGAGATCAAACTGTGATCAGAAGCACCTAAGTGAGCACTGACTAGGATCAGAAACAAGACATAAGTCAAATAGAGAAGGTAAATGATTGGGGTTGTCTGGAAAGCGAGTTGGAAAGTTGACTATTTGAGTTAAGGATTGAGAAAGACAAAAGTTGTGGGCTTTATATCCTGCAGAGTCACTGAAACTAGAGCTGAGCCATTCAGTGTGAGTCACCGACAACAACAATATTTGCTGATGGACAAAGAGAGAGGGCTTGGTCAATATGATCAGAAATAACATCAAGAAGAGTGCAGTCTTGAGATAAAGGATATTAATATAGAACAAAGAGAAAGGTGATAAAGTAAAGTGGTGCTAAACGAAAGCATATAAAAGAGTAGCCTGTAAATTCAAACCTAGTTTCCCGACAAAAGGGTGAATTCTTACGAATGTAAATGCCCAGGGGCCAAGCATGTGACTATTGGAGTCTTTACGAATTAAAGGAAGTTAACCATCAATACTAAGATCACAAGATGAGACAGCTGAACTCAAATTAGTTTCACAAAGAGCAAAATAAGATTTAACAGAAGAAAAGTTAGTTCGAAGACTATGAATATTAGTGAATGATTTAGAGAACTTGGTGATGACAGTGGTTTTTTTGTGTTTTATAGTCTTTGTTACTTTATTCATTTTTAAATTTGTTAAAAAACTTCACTCAAAAAATAGATAGTATTCAGTACACTGTTTAATAGCCCAAGCAATTATCTCATTACTATTAATAAACCCTAAGCCGTAACAAAGGGCTCCAATGTGGCCTTGGCAATGCACACCAAAAGTACAAACAGGGACACCATTCATGCACAACATGGCACTGTTAATACTCTGATATTTTACAACTGTTAATGGAATCAGCCACATTGAGAGCTACCACAGAGTTTGGGAAATCTGACTACCAGTCAGCCTCAGAACCATAAAACTGAGTTTTAGAGCTGTACCCTCATTAGGAGATAATAGAATGAGTTTCCTGGTCATAAAAACAGAGGCACAAGCAAAACCCATGCATCGAGTCAAGAAGATTCAGTATTCAACATCCTAAACTGGAAACAATATATTAAAAATACACCTGCACCAACCTAATAGATGAAGAAGGGGTGCGAGGCTAATCAACAGATAGAATCTGTTTACCCCTTGGGGTGTTTTATGTCGGAGTTTGCTTCTGCTAGCCTTTGCCTAAAAAGGCATATCCTACAAGGCAGCAGGACATGAAGCAGATTGTACTGGGTTACATGTTGCCAATAACAGGATAACCTGAACTGACAACATTATTAACATTAAAACAAAAAATATTTTGTTGACTTACTATTAAATATTGTTGTGCTAGGTTGGGTTCCTATTAATTTAAAAACAATTTTACCTTGTAAAGGCCTCTAATATTGAGTTATAAATAGCCTACGACCCATTCGCTAACCCAATAACTGATAAAATTAGAAAGTAATAAATAAGAATTTGAGAGATTATTGATAATTCAAGTCAAATTTAAGTTTAATTGTCCAAAATTTAGTTTATATTCGAGCTCATTTTCTATTTAACAGGTCCCTTATACTGTTATAAAAAAATTCTGTGAAAATGAAAAATTATGAAAAATTTGAAAAATTTTATATAAATCCAAAAAAAAAAGTTGTAAAAAAAGATATTAAAAAACTTATAGAAATTCATGTTTTTTATTTTTGATATAAAAACTGTAGTTTTTCTGCAATAGAATCTAAAAGAGGATTAACACAAAAAATAACCACATCACACTAAAAACACTGAGTTGTGATTTATTCAATATAAAGGGGTTTTAAGGCACCGTAATATCTTTATTAATTCAATTATATATGGAGAGAAAGGATATCTTTAAAATATTGAGTGATTTCTTTTTGTGCTTCTTGTTGGTAATCAATTATGATTAAGCTCTCCATACAGGGGGCAGAAATAAAACCTTAGTAACCCATTTATTTAAACCACTGAACCATATTAGCAAAATGGAAAAAGTTGTGCTCCATTTACCATAAGATTATGTCTAAAAATTGAACTCAAACAACAAAGCATGTTAAAAAATTTCACAAAAGTCTTGATACTTACTGATATCTAATACTTTATGAAAATATCTAATAAAATAAATGATAAATAAATCATATGATTAGACAAAAAATGCAGATGAAAAACTTACACCAATACACAAAAACATTTTGCTAAAAAAAAATCTTAAACCATTTGTTTTTATTAATCACATGTATTAAAAACTTCAATGCATAATGTATTTTCCAACATTGTAATATAACTATTGCATTATGTGCAATTGACTTTTCAAGGTAATTTATTAAACTTATGAAAATAAAACTTTTAATATACTAATGATTTTATTATTTTTCTTATTTTCTATATCATATATTCAATTTTATTTGTTGGTATCATGTTTTCAATTTTTTATTTTATAATCAATGGGGAATAAACAAATTACAAATCATCAGGTGAAGATGGTCTGGGAAACTCAGTAAATAATAATAATTCAAACTTTTTAAATTTTCTTTAAAATTACATTCAGTATAGGGCTTTTTTATACTAGCGATATATATTTTTTTGACAAATATAACAAACAAACAATGTAAGACTAAATTATTACACAATATACAATTGCTTAAAGAAATAAATAATCTCAATATATTGCTTATTTCTTTGAGCATTTGAACTTTGATATTAAAATGGCATGGTATTATATACTAATATGTTTATATTATCAAAATTAAAATGGTAACTTTCTTATAGAATAAAAATAGTTTCTATGTTAATGAGAGTATGACAGTTGTTAGGAAGTACAACATGACAAATAATCATTCCCATACAGAATGCCTAGATATATAATTAACGTATAGCTAATTTAATTAAAAAACTTTATTAAAAATGTAAGTTAAATTGATGTTTATACATGTAATTGTGCTTTTAATAATCATATACTAAAATTATACTAGAATAAAGGAAAACTTTTCAAAAACTTATGCCAAAAAAAAACTAAAAAAATGCTTAAAACAAGCAGAAAAACACCAAAAAAAGTACACACAAAAAAAAAAAAAAAAAAATGCTCTAAAACCCAAAAAAAAAAAGCTTTGTAATATCTAATACAAAAAAAATTTTTTATTTGTATGTTTAGATTAAAAACTGAAACCTTAATAAATGACATTCAAAAAATATTTTAAAACTTTTTTTAAGCATTTTTTGTGTACTCATTCTGATCTAGTGGTATGAGATTACGCCTGACTACCCAAAACTGTCCTGTTGTGCCTAGACATAAGAAACTTATCTGGCTGATGTCATATAAGTTCCTTTTTTTATGAACTCTGTTAAACTCACTGATGTTATTTTTTTTAAATAAATTTTTTATTAAAACTAGTAGCTAGTAAGTTGTTAGTAAATTTTGACTAAGTTGAAAAAAATTTAATTTGGATTTGTTTATGCTATGAATAAAAAGTGCTCAACTTTCACTTAAAACTTAGTTTAAATCACCAACATAGATGCTAACAATGAACTTTACATCTAACTATACACGCTGCAATTTTTTTCAACTACTAGAATTTAAAATTTTTATAATTAGGCCTTAAATTTCTACTCTTAGTCTATTCAGAGAATGTGTAAATTTTTAAATTTTTAAAAACGAGGAAAAAATTAAATGAATTTTAAAACTAAAATGTATGCATATGTCATTATTATTATTATTTTTATTATTATTATTATTATTTTAACATTCACATATTAATAACTTAGAATAGGTTTAAATTTTTTCTATTGTTTTAATTTGTGACGTTACAATTTCAATTTGGTAGTCAGGTCTCATAAACATTGTGTGTGCGTGTGTATTAAATTCAATTTAAAAATAACTTTTTGATAATAATATACACTAAACAACAAACCAATGCGTTGACCAATTTGAGAGGAAAATGCCCCAGGTAAGCCAAATAGTGCGGCCATTGGTGTTTATTTATTACCCAAAATCATAACCGAATCGTATTAATAGTGCTTATTTTTAAAATGTTTACTTGAAAGTTATAGTTTCTTGTGTTTTTCCATGACGTAAGTTTTGATTTTTATTTCCATGTTTTGAAATAGCGTGGCTGCAATTTATTGAACAAAACTCGATAATGATTTCGCGGTATAACTTAAATAATAAACTTTTTTTTTTTTTTTTTTTTTTTTTTTAATTTTACATTTGTTGGTCGTATGATGATAATAATAAACTTTCACAAATATAAAATAAGGTATCTGAAAGAAGATCAAAGGATCTTGTCGTCAGAACCTTAAATAAGTTCAAACAAGCATTAACAGTATCAAATTTTTACAAATTTCATATATATATAATCCAAATATATATTTTATAATCCAAAGAGAGATCACGCGGATCTACTCACTAATATTTTATATAAACGTATACGTGAAGTAAAGAATATAAAATCAGCAAAATAAGTAAGAATAAACTTTTTATAAATATAAATAAGAAAAGGCAAAGTTATTAATTTATATTATTAATAATAACATAATACGTCTTCTAATGAAAAAATTAGGGTTTTTAATTTACTTTTAAAAAAACGAAAAGTAATGGGTAGTTCGAAATCAAAATTGGGCAAAACAATTTTATTCCAAAGGTGTGGTGCCCGATAGACAATACAAAATTGATTAAAGTTCGTTTGACAGAAAGGTTCATTTAAAAAATCAGTATTTCTCAAATTGTATTTGTTGATGGGTTTCGGAGTAAAAATATCTTTGAAGACAGATTGAGACAAGTCATTTTTCCACATGTATACAAAGCATAAAACATTATATATATTTAGCTCGTATATATTTAAAATTCTCATTTCAATAAAATAATGTTTTGCGTGAGAAAAGCGATTTGCAAAGCAGATTAAACGGATAGCATGTTTCTGACGGCGATAAAGACGTTGCAACTTACTTTTTTCTGTACTACCCCAGGCGATATTAGCATAATTTAAATAACTGTGTATAAATGAATAATAAAGTTTGATTAAAATTTTCTTATTGAGGTAGATTCGTGCTTTATATAAAACTCCTATGTTTTTTGAAATTTTAGTGCTTATGTAGTCGATATGATGATTCCAAGTGATGTTTTCATCAAGGTAAACACCTAAAAATTTTGTTACGGAATCCCTTTTTATTTCATTTTGATCAATAAAAATTTTAGGTAAGTTTAATGGCAAATATCGTTTTTTGGAAAGCGAATGGAATAAGGTCCACTTTGTTTTATTAGAATTTAGAGTTATCTTATTACATTTAAACCAACTCGATACATGTATAAGCTCTTTGTTCATTGTTTTAAAAAGTTCAAAGATATCACTGTTAGAAAGAAATAAGTTAGTATCATCTGCAAACATAATACTTGTTAGTTTAGAGGCTTTATTTAAATCATTAATATAAATTAGGAAAAAGAGTGGACCAAGAATTGAGCCTTGTGGGACTCCACATGTTATAGAAAGACAATTGGTGTGATAACCGTCATTACTCGGAACAAATTGTTTACGATTTGACAAATAGCTTTCAAACCATTTTAAAACTTTATTTTTTATTCCATAGTGTTTAAGTTTATGGATTAGAATTTGGTGGTCAACCGTATCAAAAGCTTTTGATAGATCAATAAAAAGTCCTAGAGTATATTGTGATTTTTCAAATGATTTTGAGATTTCCCGTACAAATTGGATAATTGCATGTTCAGTTGAGCTATCCTTTTTAAAACCGAATTGATTAATGTTAAGTAATTTATTAACATGAAAATATTTGTATACTCTGTTATATATAATTCTTTCTAAAATTTTTGAAAAGGTGGAAAGAACAGAAATAGGGCGATAATTACTTATAATTGATTTGTCCCCTTCTTTAAAAATAGGAATAATTTTGGCAAATTTTAACAGTTCGGGGAAAACACCTTGATGGATAGAAGCTTTAAAAACTTTAAAAAGAACAACTTTTAGCTGTTCAAAACAATCTATAATAACGTTTCCATTTATTTGATCTGCTCCAATTGCTTTATTTTTTTTAAAGATTTGAAGGCTCTTTCAAACTCTTCAAACAACAATTCAGAAGACAACTCAACTGAACCAATGCAATTATCAATGGGTACTAGAAAATCAGTAAATAAAGATTTGGTGTTTGGGATTTTTTTAGAAAGTGTTGGACCTATATCGATAAAAAATTTGTTAAATTCTTGAGCTATAGTTCGTATAAACTTTTGTTATCGACTCTAACCATTTGTGGCAGAAAACCTGAGCATGATTTTTGTTTTCCAATAGTTTCATTCATTATTTGCCATGTGCGTTTTGTGTCATTTTTAAATGTATTGAGTAATTGGGAGTAATAATTTTTTTTTAGATTTTTGCAAATTTTTTCAAATAGGTTTTTGTAGTCCTAGTCAAAAAATTTATATATAGTTTTTGCTTAATTTTGGACAATTTTTTAAAGCCCTTAGTGATCCAGGGTGTATTTAAGCTCTTAGTAGTTATTTTATTTTCAATGATTGGGAAGTTAGCATCGTATACAGAAAAAAATGTTTTGAAAAAAGACTCATAGATATTGTTAGCATTATCATTAAAATTTATGTTATTCCAGTGTAGTAATGAAAGTTGATTTTTGAATAAATTAAGGTTAGCCTCATTATAAATGCGTTTTCTAATTACTCTTTGTGCGGTTAAAGTTTTTTCAGAGTTTGTATTATCTAATTTTAGGAATATAGGGAAATGATCTGATATATCGGTTCGCAAAATACCTACTTTTAAATCATTGTTGAAAATATCTCAAGTTATATATATATAACTGATAACGCATCTGTTTTTTTAAGCAAATTTTTTGTTGTTGCTGTGGTTATAAAGATGCTCCCAAAAGTCCTTACTTTCTTATCATAGAGCACCGTGGAAAAATATTTAATTAAGATTTTTACGTCTGCTTTCTTATCAATATTGTTTATTTTGCTAGAGTTTACAGCTCACCTTGGCAGGACCGCCGAGAGCCGTTACGCTGCTTGAGACAGCAACCCTGATTCGCGCCCTTATTCATTAAAATTTCCTTATATTATAAATAAAGGAACCATTTTTTTTAGGTACCTTCTTTTTAATTGGTGCTCCTTGGTGCCACGGGACAAACTATACCTTTCTCCAACCCTCCCCCCCTCCTTCGCTGGGGCCCTACATCTAGGACCTCTTGGCTCTGAGCTAGAACTCTAACCACTGCGCCACGGTTGATTGGCGCCAAAATATCAGAAATTGCTCTGAAATGGATAATATGGCAAAGAGGTCGTGGCTCTCCAAGCATTTCATTGATCTTTTGATATGTAAATAATTTGTGTATGTGACACCCATTGATCTTTTGGTATGTGACAAATTGGCAAACTACACAGCAACTTATCAAGGACTGAAACTCTTTACACAGTCTGTGTCACATGTCTTAAAAATTTCTAAACTTCTAAATATCCATACATAATTGATTACTGCAAATAAAATTACATAGTGTTTTTTTAAGAATTTTGTATTTTTTACCTAGGTTTACCAATAATTCTTCATTGCCCTTAAGGACAATGGTTTTTTAATTTAATTTACACAGTCTGTATCACATGTATAATATATATATATATATATATATATATATATATATATATATATATATATATATACATATATATATATATATATATATATATATATATATATATATATATATATATATATATATATATATATATATATATATATATATATATATATATATATATATATATATATAGAATAGATGGAATTAATGAAAATGAAAGTGAAAGCTGGGAGGAAAACGAGCTCAAGGTAAAAAAAGTTTTTGAAGAATTTTTATCTATTTAAAAAGTCCAATTTTAATGGGCCCATAGAACTGGAAAAAAAGAATGAAATAAGCTGAGAACAAAAGCAATAAAGCTTTTAAATTTTAAAGATAAAGTCGCAATTTTGAACAAGTCAAGCAATCTGAAAGGGAATATATTTATATAAAGAAGGTTTTTGTTCTAAAATAACGAAAATCAGAAAAAGTTAAAGGGAGAAAGTGAAGATCGAACTAGCGGCTGGTAAGTTTGCATACATATCTTGTGACAAATTGATAATTTGCGATTGGGTAGCGAAGAAAGCGAAAATTCATCTCCATAATATTTTTAATTAATTAACGGAATTTTATTTTTACTATTACTTATTTTCAAAATTAAAATGTTTTAAAAATGGAGGAAAATTTCATAATTAAATTTTAGGATGAAAATGACATTTCCGGTGATAATGACACCAACGCAAATTATTTTAATCACAAAATGTTAAAAAATAAATATAACTCCGTTTCCAAATGTTCGCAACTTCTTAAACAAAATAAAAACATTTTTTCAACTTTAAATATCAATATTCGAAGTTTGAATATAAACTTTGAAAATTTAATAACATTCTTAAATGAACTTAAACACGATTTTAAAATAATATGTGTGACGGAAACTTGGTGCAAAAGTGGTGAAACAAATTTTGCGTGACAGAAACTTGGTGTAAAAGTGGTGAAACAAATTTTATGTGTGACAGAAACTTGGTGTAAAAGTGGTGAAACAAATTTTATGTGTGACGGAAACTTGGTGTATAAGTGGTGAAACAAATTATGAATTTGAACTAGTTAATAACACATTAATTCACCAACCGCGTGAATTTAATGCAGGTGGAGGAATTAGTATTTTTATCCACAATTCACTTATTTATATTTTACGTAACGACCTCTGTGTTTATGAAACAGATTGTGAATCATTATGGATTGAATTAGTAAATAAAACTGAAAAAAACAATATTATAAATAGTATTTAAAAACCACCATCTGGTAATATAAAAAAGTTTAAAACTCATCTTAAAACATTTCTAAAAAAAATTAAAAATTCGAGGAAACATATTTATTTGGTCGCGGATTTTAACATCAACCTTATCAACTATGCTTCTAATAATATGAACTGCTAAGAACTTTATAAATACTCTTCTAGAAAATAAATTTATTCTAAAAATAAACAAATCAACAAGAGTTACAAAAA